TGAATGAGGTTTTCACGATTTTTACAAATTGAACGGTTTTTATTTAAACGCTCTTATATTTATATATATATATATATATATATATATATATATATATGAGAAGTCAAAATTTCATCAGATATTTTATATTGATTTTAAATAATTAATTTAAAATAATTAATGTTATTCATCAAATAAACATTATATTTTTTTTTTTGGAAAAATTAAAATATATACATATTGTAAACATCGTCAACATTTGAGTCAATGTAAAAGAGTCTCCAAGGCTTTATCCAAACTAATCAGGTTAAAACTTTTTAGTTAGATAGTTTTATAACTGCAATCCAACACTACTCATATCTATTAAAAGTTATATATATATATATATATATATATATATATATATATATATATATATATATAAAGGGTTTTGTAGTTGAAGGGAGTTGACCATAAAAAATAGGGTTTTATAATGATGAATTGATAACAACCATTTCCTAGAAATTACCAAATCAATTCCTACAAAATCAAATGGAAAGGAATAAAAGAAAGTTTGACTCTCCTCTCATATGATTCCACCTAATAGATCAAAAGTTTTAACTGAGTGTGTATTTCTCTTTTTCATAATTATAGGTTTTTGGGTCACTTTAAATATACTGAAAATGGATAAAGCCATTAAGAAAAGCAATAAATATATATATATATATATATATATATAGGGATCTAATTAAATGAGAATTGTTTTGTTTGTAGTAATCGTGAAATCTAATCTCAACAACAAATCAAAAGTTAAAATAATAAATTAATGATTTTGGTAATTTAACTTAAAATATTAATTAAGGATACTTTACGGATTTTATAAATATCATTTCTCATCTCTCCGACGAATTTTATTTGGTGAAACTTATTCCAATGAATCTTATGTAAACACTAGATGCACACTATGATACCTACAAACGATATTCACTGTGATACCCAGATATACATACAAGATGCATAATTGATACCCGTTGTAAAGCAATGAAAATAACAAAAATGCACACTATGATATATTTCATAAAACGAAGAAAATACATTGTGATACACGTGAAACATTGTGAACGTTATCACTATGATACACGTTGATTCACAAACGTCTTTAAAATATGATGTATATTGGGTAATTGATGTACTAGGTAACTTATTTTAATTAAATACTTTGATTAGTTGTCAAAAATAGAATTACTATATTACCATTTTAGCTTATTTAAGAAAAATATCATTAAATATCTCAAACGACTGATTCACATTGGATCTCACGGTTACCTTAAACTAATCAGTTCTCCCTTGAATTGGCCCTTATATACATATAAAATCAAGAACTAAAGTCAAGAAAGTCGAAACCCATTTAGTAGATTGAATATTTGATGAAGATATCGATGAAATGAGGTTTAAGATCGATGAAAACGGAGGTTACAGGGTTCGGGTCATCTTCTTTCTTTGATAATAACATTTTTGGGTATTTTTGTTTGGGGATGTTGAAGATGATGAATGAAGCTTTTGAAGATTCGTTTTTTTAACAAAATAGGGGCTACAAAACGAGCTATCCCCCACACTACTCCGTCCATGACAACTTGAATCCTTTTGTTCGCTTGGATATCCGAATGAAATGACCAATGTTGTACAGCAAAAAACTGATCAATTTGGTCATTCAGACCGTTCGGAAAGGTTTTTGTTTCGATGGTTCCATATTAAGTACAAAGTGATCCATAATACCGCCTTCCAACAGATCGTCCAAGGAGATAGACGGCGACAACGACCATCCCCACCAATTGAAAAAAATTTCCCATAACGAAAAGCTAAGAGGACACTTCAATAGACAATGTTTGGTAGTTTCCTCCGTGTTTCCACGACAAGGACAAAGGACAGAGTGCAAGTCAATACTTTTGTCATGGAGAAGCAATTGGACGAGAATCCTCCCCCAACGAAAACGACAAATAAAGATGCAAACCTTCAGAGGCACACAAGAGCTCCAAATAGAAGGCATGACGGTCTCGAAAATCAGGAACGGACCCAGAAATTTTTCAAACCGTGACACCATTTGACTATAATTTTTTTTTAGCATAACGGTATTGTAGTCTTTAGCTTCCTAAGAAATCAAATGTTCAAACCTTACCAAATATAAGAAGGATATATCTTAATTTATTTGTTACATCGTATGTAATTATTATATACGAAAATTCGGAGACAATCGTAGTTTAAAAACAATCTTTATGGGACCCAAATTAGAACTTATTTTTCATATATATATATATATTATTTCTGACAAAATGTCATGTTCATACCATGATCTCGAACTTTCCTACTCATTTCTTTTCATTTAGTTTTATGATTAAATATATTGAAATATAATAAAACAATAATTTTTTTCTTTATACTTGTTTTAACTGATAAACTGGTTAAGTTAAAACGTCAGTTGATTTTGATGTAGTTTTTTCCGTTTGTTATGTTATCAGTAGTTATAAGATCTACTGATTACCAATCAAATGGATATAAAATAAGAAGAATTGAACTTTGTTTACATTATTAAAATGTCTTTGACTTAGCAGGAAGTGAGTCTTTGGCTTTCTAACAAGTTAGAGGTTCAAACATCACCAAAGATAAAAATAATGTATGAGTTTATTTTATTTATTGTATATAAATATTATATACTTTAAAAAAAAACTTTGTTTACATTAAATTTGAACTAAAACAAACTTTGTTACATTTTAATACTTTTCTGTCTTGTTTTATTAGGACCCGTTCATAATTTCCGAAAAACAGTGGTTTTTCAAATCAACGACTATCGTTGCTTCAAAACGAAGAAATGAAATATAAAACCTACAGATATGTAATGTAAAATGGAAGTACGATTTACACAAGAAATGTGGCCGTTCGATTTATAACTCTCCCAAATAAACACAAAACTTCAATAAATTCTGTTAGCAAATGAAGATGGGGATTCACATATGAGTAGTTGGATTTTGATTTTCTCAAAAGAACACAAAACTTCACATAAATTTTGTTGGCAAATGAAGATGGTGATTCATAAATGAATAATTAGACTTGTAGTCCTCCCAAAAAAACACAAAACTTCACATAAATTTTGTTGGCAAAAGAAGATGGTGATTCACATATGAATAATTGGGTTTATAACTCTCCCGAAAAACATAAAACTTCATATAAGTTTTGTTGGCAAACGAAGATGGTGATTCACATGTGAATAATTGGCGGGCAAAACCTTGAAAACTCCCTTTTACATGGTCTCATAAACAATATAAAGAAGGGGAAAACAGAGGTCTCAAGAAAGAACATGATGACAAGATCGACCAAATTAAATGTCTACATTGTATACGTTTGTGGGGGTGAAGGATTGTGTGAGACGAAGAATTAAGATGAGAAGCTTAAAAAGAGATTTGGACCCTTGATCACTTTTAATCTCAAACACACCCATAAATCACGCTTGATAAGGGGATTGATCCGGTGCATCTCATCCTGATGTGCATCCAAGGGTGGAGATCTCTTCTTACGCTTTTCACCTTAACTCTCATTCTTAATGTGAATAATTGGCAGGCAAAACCTCGAAAACTCCCTTTCACATGGTCTCAAAACGATATAAAGAAGGGGAAAACAGAGGTCCCAAGAAATAACACAATGACAAGATCGACCAAATTAACTGTCTACATTGTTTTTCGAGAAACCCGCTTTGCTGAATGAGTTTGAATGTCTTTCGTGTAAACGTTTGTGAGGGCAAAAAGCAAGAGAACAAATACGACTTGGGCACTCACAATTCCGAAATGGCTAATGCTGTTCCCGATTTCCATCCAGCTTCCCGTATTCTTCACCTGTCATGTTACATATTTGAGTCATGTTGGATATATAATATCCCTAATAAATAACTGAAATTAGCGTAAAAACAAGAAATGGTCGAAACTTCTCTGCTCTTTGGGTTAAAGGTCATCTGAGTATATTTTACCCTCCTCAGACCCTACATCAAAGTGGGATACACCGGGTCCGTTTGGTTTGGTCTAAACCAGATTCTGTTAACCTATACTAGGAGTGAGGCTCTGCTCTTTAGCAGCTCAAGGGGATTGATAGTACTCACAGCTTATTCGGTCAGCTATACATGACTATTTGGTAGTGGCTTACTCGGTAAGCTTTCCGGGGGGGGGGGGGGGGGGAGGGGGTTATGCAGAAAGCCAAGTTTTTTCCAAAGTTATCCCTCCAATTAAAACACGCTCCTTCTATCTATGAAAAGCTCTCACAAAGAAAAACCTTCACAATCTATACAGACGGATTAATTCACACAAACAGCTTGACTTAATGGAAAACCAACCTAACAGCCCCTGATTTGGGTTTAACAAGTTTATTTGATCTTTACACCCCATTCATATCCCACAAAAATTGCAACAATTTCATTGGATGCTCATATCTATGACCACGTTTCCATTCTCAGAAAAGTTTGGATCTAAAAGCACATATATGTCTATTGTCATCGTTACAAAATACTGATGTTAATACCAAGTTAACAGTCTTTCACGTGTAGCTCGGTTGGCAAAGGGGCGGGCAACTTTGCCCAATCCCGGGTTCGACCCCCCCCCCTCCGCTAGCCTTAGCCGTTGAGTGAGCCAAAAAAATGCCCCCTCACATTGGTGTCTTTGGAGGGGGGGTTCCATGTGGCACCGGTTAGGGTTGCCGGTAATCAACCTTTTGCCCAAATACCAAGTAAATAGCTCCATCCCAAAATAAATGTTTCACAATGAAAAAGGCATACAGTTTTAGATATATGTAATTATTACACTTTTTAATCAAGTAAATGACAATTTTAACCTAAATAATAGAGGGAGTATAGAATTTCTCCATATCGTGATTAAGGGTAAAATTGGAAAGCAAACACTTACTTTTGAAAATGGACACTTATTTTGGGACAAACAAAAATAGAAATGTGGACATTTATTTTAGAACGGAGTTAACCAGCAGTTTAAGATTGTAGACATCCCCAATGGCAAATGAAGCCGAATTAAGAAACGCGATGAAGTTAATACTTAACGAATAGCGGCATTATAAGAATTAAGAATCCGTACCAGGAAAAAGAAGTGAATCGTCATGACATCTGAGCATAGTATAACAAGAAAGTAACATCCCAACCGTGGAACTCGGACCAATTTCGTTATTGCACTAAACGCGCATCTGCATTCAAAGTTAAACAGAAGAATGAACATCCAAAATCCATGTGAATAAATGAAAACTTACCCCTTGATCAGATCTTGCGTATATCTTACCCTCCTAGATCCTACTTTTGAGTGGAATATATTGGATTTCTTTGGTTCGGTTTGGTTTGTTTGGTCTAAAAATGGTGTGCTTTAAAGAGTATAAAAACCAAATTACTACAATCAAGATTCTAAATGGTGTGAGGCGTGGCATGGTGGCGAGGTTAAGCTTCAAGCTTTACACACCACGCCAAGGACGCGGCGTTTTTTAAGGAGTGACATAAGGCGACAAATTTGTATGTTATATATATATTTATAAATATACATTTATATTTTGCATTTATTATTCAATGATATTAAAAAGAATATCCATATTAAAAGAAGAAAAATCATATATATTTGTATTATATAAAGAGTATGTGATCATATATCCAAAGTAAAACTTGAAAGGGTTTTACAACTTCGTCTTAATTGTGAGTCTGTGACGTGTGCGAATCCATGAAACTGTGATTGATGTGATTAGATAAATATGTAAAAGTGTAAAATCTAAAGTACAAAATGTAAAATCACAAAAGATAAAATAAATAAAAAATTAATTTTTATAAGTGAAAAAAATCACGCTTTGTAAAAAAGCACACCATGGCGCCGCATGAGCCATACACAAATGCTATAGGCCTTATCATAACAGCGGAGATGCGTCTTACACGTCTACACACGTGGTACATGGTTGTTGTCCACTCGTGACATGCATATAAAAGATAAAATAAGAAGAATATGTAAATGACAATCTATGCTCTGGTTGCCATACGGATACCCTTTTGTAGTAGATAGTGAAAAATGAAATTAAGTCGAAGATGGAAATTGTTACAGGTACACTTACATGACGAGCATGAATGGGATGAACAATTTGAAAATAAGCAGCGCCGCCATAAGAAATGGCTGTAAGCAGAAACGAACATTGTCAAATAATTACGAGATGTTGAGAAAAATCTGTTCTATTTATGAGGGTTCATTGACATTTACTTACACTGAATATTGTGATGAACCGATAAACCGATGAAATCTCAAAACTTGCAATACTTGCAAAATTACCCGTTCCGAAAAATGCAATATTAAAGAATACCATCTAGAAAATATGGAAAAGAAAATAATTAGAGATAGAAATTCTTGCAGCTGACCTAGGTTCATCATCATCAAGAAGAAATGCAAAACAGGAAAATGAAAAGAAAAAAAAAACTTATGTCAAAAATTTACATCTTTACAAACATGACAAATGAAAAGGTGGTTTCCTATCTCTGCGAGCAGTTTTAGAATATTCTTTGAGCAAAAGGTTGATTACCGGCAACCCCGATTGGCCCACAAAGAACCCGCCCCATAAGAACCACGTGTGAGGAGGCATTTCAAAGCAGGCTTTGTTTTCCATTAAGTCCTCTATGGATAAAGTTGTCCGTGTGGATTAATCTGTTTGTATAGATTAGGAAGATTTTTGTTTGGGAGGGTTCTTTCATATATGGAATGAGTGCGTTTTTTAATTAGGAGGGGCAGGTTTGGAAAAAACTTGGCATTCTATAAAGCTCCCCCTATAAGCTTACTGAATAATCCACTTTCTATATCATTAAGCCACTACCAAACGGTCATGTATAGCTGACCGAATAAGTTGTGAGCCCCATTAAGCTGCTAACAAACAGAGTCCGCGGCTGAGGCTAGCAGAGGGGTGGTTCAGGCCCGTCTCCCGCAGGATTCAAACTTGAAAAGGGCGTTCAAGCCCATCCCGATGGCTCAGTTTTAGAATATTTATATCATATCATAATCAGAAGAAGGGGAAAAGGAAACCCGTTACTTACAAAAACTATCGGGATTCTCATATCGAACAATTTTAGGCATCTATCACCTTCCTCGAGAATGATGTTACCATTCTCCGTTTCAAAGGAACTAAGGGACTTTTTTGGTTTTTTGACGTAGAGAAGTGCATTTTCAAACAGGATCCATCCAAAAAGTGCAAGACCGAGAGCCCCATAGAATACAGCTTCATATCTGTACACGCCTCAAAATGTCACACTTCTACATTTACAAGACGTTCATAAAATTGCCAAAAGAGCAATTTAAAGGCATACCCGATAGACAAAAGCAGGAAAGGGGGTGCAAAACCAAGGAATATGGAAGTAAGCCGAGAAAGTAGGTCAGTCGCTGAAAACAGTGGGAGAACCATTGATAAACCTAGACAAATACAGCAATGAGTTATTTGTTAAGCAATAAAAGATTTCATGTTAAAGGGTATGGAAATTTGGAAGCACTAGAAATATTTACAAAATTTACAAAAATTCTGTCTGAATAGGATACCAAGACTTCCGTCACACAAGGCAGAAATCTGCGAGAAATTAAGTTATTTTGACCTTTATTAGCAAAATACTACTTCACCTACATATTTCTGTTGGTATATCCAGAGGCAGACCTAGAAATTGGTAAATTGTTTCTTATTTAGAAAAGGACTGAATACAACCAAATTTAATAATAATAATAATAATATAAGAAGTGCAAGTGAGGTGTGAAATTGGATCTGATTTTCTGATGTTTAAACTCTGGAGCAAGATCTGATAATTCAATTGGAGACAGACGAGAAAAGAGAGTAGGGAAGCAAATTTTTACCAGCAATGGACCAATTCATTGTTTGATGTAATGCAAGCAGTTCACGTTTTTCTGTTCTATGAGATGTTGAGAGGTACACCAACACGGATGATAAGCCAACCAAAAGGGCCTATGCATTTAGCAAGAAACCATTGTCAGATCTCCTTGTAGACAATTTAGACAACAAAATTAATAGTAATATCTATATAGGGTCAGATTCAGGGGAAACCCGCAAAAAAATGAAAAACTAAGGAACACCCTGGTAACCGTTCATCTCTACGGAATGCACGTGTGCATACAAGTAATTTGTCATGTATGCACATGTGCATAACATGCACACGTGCATAGAAACCAAGAAACAGCTTCAGTTACTTGTATGCACATGTCCATACCATACAGATGAATGGTTGTCATGGTGTTCCTCAGTTTTTCATTTTTTGGGGGTTTTCCGTTGAACCTCCCTCTCTCTCTATATATATATATACATACACACACACACATATGTGTGTGTTTGTGTATATGTATGTATATGTGCATTAAAATTTAATAAGGGGAAAGGAATGCAAACCACAAGCTCCAATATACTACCATCTAAGTAGGCTGAATACCATTCAACCTAAATGATTGATGGCAATTTATGTACCTGTAAGTGGAAGAGCATGGGAAAGCTGGGTTGTGAGTCATGGTTGATGAGATAAAGCCAATACTTGTTATCTTTGGTATGCAGATCTAGATACCTGCTGACTCCTCCTATCACAACAATTATAACTCCACTGATAGTTCTGCAAGAAAAAAAAAATATACAACGTCAAATAATGCCATACCCGTCGATGTTTAATGATAGTGATAACAGAGTCTTAATCAATGCTGTAACTTTCTGAATCAAAATCCTTTCAGGTAACATAATCTAGACTTGAAAAGCAGACAGCCATTCACAACGTAGCTAAGTAGAAACTAAAAGGGAATTGTGACCAACGAAATAAGTTCATGTCCAATAAAGAGAAAAGAGATAAGTGCCACAGTACATATAGATCCAATCAGAAAGGCAGGGACTAATTTAATGAAAAAGCTCAACTAAATGCTAAGATAAGGAGATATACAACCTAAAGATGTGATGCTTTCTTTATTTCCGAATAAATATTTTTTTTGGGAATAAGGAAATAGATCAATCATAGAAGGGTTCTTGGCCTTTCCCAGAAGTTCTTTTCACAATTTTTTGCATTTTGAAATCCTAATGCTCAATGTTCAAACTTTCTCAATTGGAATAGTAAACAGTGAATCATACAGATATAGACTAGAATAATATAGAATGTTTTCAGCACAAGTTCTTCACATGTAGCAGATCAGGCTGTTTTCCTCTGACCGAAGCTAAGATTTGTTTGCATGCCATCCCCAGTCTCTGTCAAGGTTCAGACTCAAGCTTAAATTTTTCAAGTGGTCAAAGTTCAAGATGAGGTTCTATTGATATACTATAAACGAAGTTACTGTAAAATCTGTGTCGCCTAAAATTTCCTTAATAGAACTAAAGACAGTCATGAAGGAGAAGAAATGAAATCAGAAGGCAACTTACACTAGTACCGTGTTGTCAGGAATCTCGGCAGGCATCAAGGTAAAAACGGACAAAAACCAACATGATAGCCACAAAAAAATTGGTATTCCAGATTTCCATGGAATTGACTTAAAAAGATAAAATGGAGTGATGACCCCAACAATTAAGAAACACCAGGTGTAGATGATTCTCTGCGTGAAGCTTCTCACCTGCAAAAGATAACAGATCAAGCAACAGAGAAAGTCAGTAAGGGTCCTAAGGAAACAGCCGTTGCATATTAAGAGTAGTCCACAGCATCACGATTGGCCTTACTAGGAATTCAAGAACAATGACGGAGACAACACAGGTTGCAGAGAGTTCGATGAAATGGAAAGATTCTTTTGCTCGTAGGAATCTCCACAAGGCTCTTAGAAACCGATATTCACTAAATATATTGGTCCAAAGAAATACAGTCATTGCAGAATAAGCATGATAGAGTGGAGGTGAGTGCTCCAAATACAACACGACAAAAATTGATGCCATGATGAGACTTCCACATAGGTACACCTGCCACAGAAAATAATCCTTAAGAGGCATATACTTTAGAAGTTGACACAGAAAGTTAGTGTCCGTTCGTTTACAGCCTAATGGTACTCACAGTTCATTTGATCAGCTACACAACTGTTTGGTGGTGGCTTAATGATATAAAAAGTAGCTTATTCAGTAAGTTTTTAGGATGGAGCTCTATGCAGAAAGCTAGGGTTTTCAAAACCTGTCCCTCCCAATTAAAAAACTCGTTCCTTCCATCTATGAAAAACCTTCCCGATCTATACAGACAGATTCATCCATGCAGATAGTTTTATACATACAGGACTTAATGAAAAACCAACCAAGTAGCCCCTTAGTGGGGCACATATCTTGGGACCAAAGATACCAGATATGGTTAGCACAAGAAATCAATAACTTGTGCAAAATAATATTTCCACCAACTGATAGACCTAAATACTTGGGAAACAAAGGCCGATAAGAAGAGTATGGTGGTATGTAAATAGATGCAGGCGCTAAACAACTATAGCAATGTTTAATAGATGATCTTTAAGTGTTTTTGGTTGTTCCACTTAAAAGGTTCAATATGAAATTTATTAGCAACTAAGGTACTGTATATCTATGTGCCCAATCAGAAATTTGCTAATTAATTAATTGCACAAATGCCCCTATGCGCCTTTCCCATTTAAGCTCTAAGGTTATGGATATACCTTTGATGGACGATCTCTAGTGAAAACTTCTTCCACCTTTCTAAGGATTTTTCCAGGCAAAGATGTATAAGATTGCAACACATGAATAATAAGACAGAGCATCCACCCAATGTAGCCGAGGATTATAACAGTCATCAGCATGAACCAATCATAAGTTTGAAAATAGTGGAGCCCCTCCAGCGCCAAGCTTCTAAGATTCTTGGACAGTTCCATTGCATGTTCATAGTCTCCACTAGATATGAGAGACTCAATGTGATCCAAAATTGAAGTATAATGGGCTAGAGGTTCAAAAGGCTTGAATCTAAATGAATTTGACTGCTTTAGTTCTGAGTTTTGCCGAGGAAAAGTTGGTAAAAGATGCACAAAAAGAAGACATACAAAAAAACAAACACGTTTAGAGCTTAATACCCACCATTTACCCAGCCAAAAGAAAAGCTCAATATATATTCCTATTTTTAATAATCAGAGTCCACTTCTCATTGTGAAACCCAAATTTCTGTTTCTCACATTAATATTTATACGAACATAATTTTTATCTTTTTAACTCGTAATATTTTTTATACTGATACTGCTTTTATAAATTCATGTAATTACATAATTAGCTTTTCTTTCTCTATAACCAAAACAGTCTTATCATTTTGACCTTAAAAAATTACCCACTTGACTCTAGTCAAAATTGAACTTTAAGTTCAGATCAGAATAGCATCTTGAATGCAATGATAGTCATCTCTTCTTATAAAGCATAGAAGCTTCATAAGTGCTTTAAAGGATACGTGATTTACGAAGAAATTGACTCAGAATTTGTTTTGTATTCGCTAGCACAGCTTCCACTTCATTCCCCTGAACAATATAAAGCAACAAAACAAATACCGAGTCACTTCTGATGATATAGATACAAACAATGATCCACCACAAAAGCAACATGATAACATTTGGGATTCACTATTATGAACAAATGTCGCATTCAACCAGACTGTTTGGTCTTTCTACCTTATCTAAATCAATGTAGTCGAGGGGTAGACTACCAACTGAGTTAACGGGGCATGGCAAACCAAGAAGAGTTGACTGCCAAACATAAAATAAGCATGTCAGAAGTGAGAACAAATCAGGAGGAACATTGGAGGAGATAATCAGCAAATTTGAGTATGCAAAAGGAAGGTGACACACAACACAACCATCAATGGTGCAATATCAGCTTGATTGACATCCACTCTTTCTATGTTACTGAGACCCCAATCAGTTGGTGTAGGTGTATCATGCATATCATGTTCATCAACAAATCGTTCACCATGATCTTGATGATTATTGGATGCTGGCCTTGGATGCTTAACACCTGCTCCCCAAGCAACAAGCGGAGTATCTGTGTTTGACCAGTGCCCATCTCCATGACTTCCTATTTTTCAAGACACGAGCTTATTATTCACAGAAAAACTGCTTCATGCGTACTTTAGATAATCTAGTCTGCAGCAAAAATAAATCAGTTGGATCTTCTATGTCATTAGATAACTTTAGGCACACAACATTTCTATGCCAACATTCACATGTGAAGTCAAGAAGAACCTGAGCCCTGTCATTGATTTTCTTTGTTTTACTCTTAGCTGATAATGAAATTGACATCCAAACCTGCATCATTTTTATCCAAAAGTTGATATCCTTTTCAAACTTTGTTTCATTCCAATTAAAAGAAAAAGCATTTAAATTCTTTTTCAATTCTTTTTTTCCTGACTTGGTAGAGAAAGTATTTATTTGTAACAAAATAATTACGAGCCTATTATTTTTTAATCAGACTCTATCAATTTCATTTCTTTTTCATGTACATCGATTATAAGAAAGGAGAGAGCCAAGGTATTATATGCTCTCCTTAGCCGAAGAAGAGCTCAAATAAAAGATTCCCTGATTTTCCTGCAATTCAGTCCGAACAATCTAGAAAACACAAGGCAAATTTGGCATCATCAGAATAGCAGAATGTAATTGCTACTACTCAAACGATTGAAGGCTCAGCATGCAACTAATCTTTTAACAGATTGCATGACACAAAAGGTGCATGTGATTTATGCAGGGAAGTTTATAAGGCAATTGGATTTGAGGTAACCAAGAGAGTGTTTACAAGTTTCCTAACCTTTGTCACTCATTCCATGATCAGCCGTAAATATATATGCTGTTTGATTGTCCTTAAAGTAATCTTCAAGAAGATTATAGACGCCTTCAGCAATACGATCAACAACCTTAACATTGTTGAGATATATAGAAGAATACGGACGATGTGCATGACCATTTGAATCACAACCAAGAAGGTGCAAAAATATAACAATCTGATCTTGTTGAATTAGCTGTTTTAGTTCAGGTTCCTCTCTGGATCTATTCACAATGCTCTTGAACTGATCAAATGACCACTCATCCAAGAAAGATGCATCTGCAATATCATTAATAAAGCATTTAATAAACAACAAAAACCAATATCCCCTTATTCAAACAGCATTCAATGTATTTGCACACCGGTAGCAAAATCTTCATACTCATGAGGATAGGTATTCCACGAACTATGAGGCAAAGCTCCACAAAATATCGGAACAATATCTGGGCTACCATAGGAAAATGTATGCCGACTCTTGTTAAAAACTGAATCAAATTCCACAGGATTTGCCTTCCATCCTGCATACGTTTACAAAGTATCAAGCCAATTAGCCAAATAGTTTTTCCAACATTGACATTTATGTTTGATACTTCACGAAATTTTCAAATCATCCAAAAAGAAAAATCACCTGAAAACAGTTCAATATAATCTAGAGCAGAAAAAAGATGCAACCTTTTGTGACAGCACTAGGATCCTCATAGAAACCAGCTATAATCGCAACATGTCCAGGCCTGGATTCCGTTGGAGGGCGAGCATGAGACACACCCCAACGCCCTTGTCCTTTGATCACACTTCTCAAAAACGGTGCTCTGTAGTTCCCATCAGAATCTGGCTCAAAGAACTTATCAGCCCGTAACCCATCAGCTGAAATAACAATTAAAGCATCCATCATTACTTGTTTATACATCTCAAACATGAAACCACATGTATAAGCATGGGCAGATCCAACTTATGGAGTAGGGGGAACATGCCCCCAACCAAAAGTCATTGAAGTTGTGACTTATTTTTTTTAAACCCCAATTTTTCGTATTTACTCCGATTTTCTTACGTTGATGCCCCCAACTTTCTTTCAACAACTCATTCATTGCTCCTGGTGACCCACTAATAGCTTTTTGTGTCGTAATTCTCAACAATTTACGTGTTTATTTGGATGCTTTCGATATTTAGAGCCACGTTTTTTTAATATAGTTAACTTTGTCAGATTATGCATTCTTTGCTGCCCTTAATGGTGTCTTACTAAAGATTTCAGAATAACTTGAAAATCAAATAACCCAAAGACTTTTAACCCGAACCTCATTCGGTTCAGATGGTTATTCCACATTGGTTTCTTTAAAATACCCTCTAAATGTGCCCCGATCACATGACTTTCTGAATCCGCCACGGGACTGAATCATATAAGTGACATATAATCAAACGGTTGGTGTGCAAGGATAGTTTCAACGTATCATTACCTACAAGAAGCACAAGGCGCTTGGCGGGGGGAGTAAATCGAGGGGAAACAGGGTCCATGCCATGAACAATAGGGGATTTGAAGTAAATGTCGAAAATGCTGAGCATGTAGACAGCATGAAGTACTATTCCAAGAGCAACAAGCCATATCTCTCTACCCTTCAACCATCTTCTTCCTCTGATCCGAGCTGCTGATTGTGTTCTGGGTTTTACCCCCAAACCCAAGATTCCTTGATCCTCCATTTTTGTTGCTGATTGCTTCACTTTCACTCTGTTAGTATCGTTTTTTGCTTATGCCCTAACAAACTTTTGAATACCACGAATCGACCTTCGGCTCTTGTTGGTTTGACCGGTCGTGTTTTTCGAATGAATCTAGTCCGGACCCGGTTTGACCGATCTTGCTTTACTTATTTGAGAGAGTTACAGGTTTGGTCCCTATGGGTTGGTGAAAATTATGAAATTGGCCATTGAATTTTATTTATTATACAAAAACTCTTAATGTTTGTATTTTTGTTTTGGTTGGTTCCTTACCCGTTCATATCTCTATTAAGCCAAGGGCGAAAATACAAATTTACCCTTTTATCTATTTTTTCACATTTTCTAAAAATTATTTTTTCTAAAAAATACGAGGCGGCAATGGCATGTCAAAAGAACAAGGTGTTTCTCCTTCTTCATGGATCAAAACTCTGCTTCCACGATGAAAAAACCCTGCCATGTCTATACTTTTTATATACCATGTCCCCACTGCCTAACCCCCTGATGAATCCACCATCACCGCCCAGATTTGTTTTCGATTCTGACGAACCCACAATCACCAAGGGAACATCTCCACACGTATCCATTTCCCCAGGCTCGCCATTAGGGGTGAGCAGCGGAACCGGGTACCCGGCTATGGAACCGGAACCGCCTTGGAACTGCCGATTCCGGAACGGGAACCGATATGAGTGGTTCTGGTTCCTAAAATACGGAACCGATTGAGAATGGTTCCGGTTCCGGTTCTCAATTTTTCGGAACCGTTACCCGCCGGGTACCCGGTATTTTTCAAGTAAAAAAATAATTATTATTTTTAAATACCAAATTTATATTAGGTTTACATCTTGAAAGCACGTCGTCATTTTCATTCTTCATCTAAATTCTCCATATAAAATGATTCGTATTTTTTCAAATTGTGTATTCACTTGRATTCATAGTAYGYAATCGTTAAACTTTGAACATTTACCATTATAATATGTAATCGTTAAACTTTGAATTTTTCTATTAGTCTATTATAGTTTGTAATCGTTAAACAATATTTGTAACAATTATTTTGTATAATTTGTATTCTTGCTTATTTATTTAGTGTTTTGGCAATGTTTTATTTTTTACTTCTAAACAATAAAATTTTAATATTTTAGGAAGCGGGTACCCGGAACCGGTTCCCGGCGGTTCCGGTTCCGGTTCCAAAAATTTAAGAACCGCTCTAACCGGTTCCGGTTCCGGTTCCAATATCTCAAGAACCGCCGGTTCCGGTTCCTGTCAAAAAGGGCGTGTACCCGCCTATGCTCACCCCTACTCACCATCACCACCTAGACCTATTTCCACTCCGATTAATCCACCTCAATTCAGAAAATCTCCGATCGAATGTCACAACGGCAATAACATTCTCGCATCACATGTGCATCTTCAACTTATTCGGATGGAATTTTCTGGTAAATAGTATGCATCTAAACTGACCAATGATTTTGAGTAAATCTTGACGAGAGCTTTTTAAATGATTTTTGATGAATCTTGACGGATGATAAGAGTTAATTTAAGGTTTGATTCAGGATTTTTGATAAATATGGTTTTGATTTTAAGGGTTGAAGATGAATATTTTCAATAAAAAAATCATTACTTTCACCTAAACATGGAGACCAAATCCTTGATTCACTCTATTTATTTATAAATTTGTATTTATTTATTTATTGGTATGCATGTGTATTCACTATTTATATGTTAGATTTGTTTGTATTATGTTGTATTCACTTGTGAATATACTAATTACTTGTTTTGTTTTATTTTATTTTATATTGCTTCTATCTTATTTCTGAAATAAATTTAAGATATAGTTATATCTTATCTTTCTTATTATATTTTTTTAAAGTGAGATTTATTGAATTTATTTTGTTCATGCCTTATTTGTCAGTTGCTAAATGATTTGTTGTAAAATAATTAAAAGACTCTCATGATATAGTGTAAAATAAAATTTAATATTCGGTAATTATTTACATTGAAATTAGGGTGCTGAATGGTTAAGGGTAACCCATGATACAAAATTATTCAGAGGGTTTTAGAACCATTAATAAACATTTTTTTTTGTCAAACAAGATTCACCTCTCAACGATTCAAAAAATGCCTCTTAATAAAACTATTAAAAGATAAACAAACAACATCTCCACCTAAATAATACACTCTAATATAAGTTTGGACACAACTTGTCATATTGGGTTCTTGATATTTATTGAAACCTATAAAAAAACAAATTAAAAATTAAAATGTAATTTTTTACTATAATTCTTGAATTTTCATTTCTTTCAGTTTAACTTGTAAAGAAAATTTAAACATATGGGAAATAATGAACTCATTATATTATGTAAAATCAAACAGTTTTTTTTTTCTTTCAATCTCATTAATTATTGTTTAAAACTTCTAATCAAACATCTCCTCAGTTATATCACCATGCAACCAATTTTAATGCATTTTCACTAAAATTCAGCTATTTGTATGTTACATCAAAATACATGACAACAACACAATAATTAAACCGAAAGGCCTTTGTCCTAGCGGTATGTGAGTATTTGGCCTCCTAGGAGGTCAATGGTTCAAACCTCAAAAAAAATGAGGAGAGTGTGTGAGTTTATTTGTTTTATTTGTCATATAGTATATACTTCACAAAAAAAACACAAGATTTGAAACTATAGCAAAGTCTTCAAACAGTAACAAGGAAACAACATAATCCTAAACTCGTTATTGTTGACTGAATAAATGAAGTAAATCTGGTGATGTGACGGATCTAGAGTCGGTGTCTAGTCATTAAACTGTTGTTGGCAGATCAAATGGTGAAAACAACCACGGTCGTAAGAAAAGAAGTCAAGAAAATTTATTATCGTAGGGTTCTATGATGGATCTGGCTTGCAATTATTTTGTGATTTGGACACGTGTATATAAAAGGAAAGTTTGTTGTTTTACGAGCATTGCCAAAAGTAAGACGATATCAAGAGGTAGTAGGCCAAGACAATTATTGAATACTGATGCAAGCCATAAGTCGGTGGTCTTCATGTAAACAATCTATCTGATCCTCAAGATGAAGGTAAGATTTACATCATACCTTCCATACCCTACTGGTTTTGATTTATTTATGACATATACCAAAAGTAATACGCAGTACCAAAATAAACAGATCAATGGTACCAAAATAAACAGATTAATGGTATCTCGTTTAAAAGTAGGATCTGATAACATAGAAAGTAGTAATATACAGATATATCATTCACCCAAATGATAAAAAAGACGATTTTGTGCAAAACTCCCAATATGTAATTAAGTACAAACAAAAACCAGTACTCCCTCCGTCATGTTCATATTTCTATTTATATCTTATAATAAGTGTCCACATTTCAATTTATGTTTCTTCCGAGCCAAGTGTTTCCTTTTAAAAATAGACTAGAAGGACAATTGTGCAATGCAGCGAGATACATCGAGATAATGTTTCGTTTTCTTTTTTGTCTCTGTTGATGTAATACGGTTTTATGTGATTTTGAGAAAACGATAATCTTTTTTTCATAAAATTTAAATATATATATATATATATATATATATATCTCGATATTAGTATCAAATTAACTATTTAAAAATTCTCGTATTTTAAGTAATTTATATGGATAATAATTAAGTATTGTGTGATAAGTATAACTCAATGATTATCCGAATTATATTTTATATTTTTTATATTTAAAATGAGATGTTTATCATATAGTTGATTGTGTTCATTTGCATCTAGTTACACGAATTCAAATATAAAACTTTAATAAGTTATACTTACGCACAGTTTTCTTGTAACCTCGAATTTTAAGTAATATACATAAATAAACATTATTTCATGCATAAAAAACATTGTTTAAGAGTATTTATCAAGTGTTTTATAATATAGTATAGATAACTAAATTTCCAAACTTACCCTTAATTAACACACAAATATTTAAGAGTTAATAAGATAAATACGCTAATTCAATAAGAGTAAAGTTACTCTGAAAAAGTTCCCAGATCCACCTCTATATTTAATTAACTAAAGGTGAGGAGGCTGTGTGAGTTTATTTATTTTATTTACTGTATATAAATATTATATAATTAAAAAAAAAAATATAAGAAAACAATATTCATTATATATTAGAACAACTCAATTCCCACCATTAACATACGATAGAAAAAAAAGCCCTAATTCCATCATCTATTTTCCGGCGACATCATCATCTTCTCCGGCGACATCATCATAAAGAAACCACTTTTATTCCTAAAGGTGAATTAATAATTAAGGGCATTTGGGTCGGCCGCCGTGGGTCTTCATATTGGTGTAGCAAGTGCCGCAAACCTCCTTGTTGCCGGACTGTCCCGGCGGAACACATTTGCAGCGGTCACAGCATGTCACACAAGCTCTCAGGCATACATTCTGTCGAGAATGATTCTTGCATCTCACCAGACACGGTGGGTAGCATTCTGCAAATCAACAAATTACCGTAGCATTTAATGTATTGATAAACATATATTTGTTTTACAATGTGTTTGGTTCATAAGTACGAAAATGGAGGATCCAGGAAATTAATGGGATGGGGGCACATTGGACGAGACTTGGGAGGCAAGCATATGACCACATGGGACTGGAGAAACCATGTAAAACGAACATAAAAATAGAAAATTTAAACTAGTCAACAAACGTTTTTGGTCTTTGACTGTACGCCTTTCCCCCCGGTCCTTAAGGGTAGATCCGCCCCTATGTACGTATGAAACTTCTTTAGATGTATTTTTTGTTTCACAAACACACTAAAAAGTTCCACGTTGTGAACCAAAACACATTGTAAAACAAATATACGTTAATCACTATATTAGATCCTAGCCATATATGAAAAAGATCATATGAAATAACCCATCATGTACCGTTTCTTATAGATCCCACAAATTAGAAAGTGACTTGGGACGACCAGCTTGTTTTCATGAAACCCGTAAGATTACTTTTTTACAAGTGAAATTTCACAACAAAACGTGGTGAGGTAAAAAAAGTCGAACATTTACAACAAAAACACTATACTTCACAGTATTTTAATGTGAAATTTCAAATGTAAAAAAGTAATTTCACGAGTCTCATGAAACTGACAGGTCTCTCGTAAACCCAACCATATACAGACTTGAATATATATATATATATATATATATATATATTTTATAGAAACGATAATAAGCAGCTTTATTTTAAAAAAAAAATTCATATAAACTTATTACAATAATTTTTTTTTAAACACAAAAGTTTGATATGTAAGCTTTTAACATCTATAAAATAACCCTTTATTGACATAGAACTCTTAAAAGATGATACCTTTAGTGTTTCTTGGTGGAGTCGGTGGCGGTGCGACGGTGGGCGGCTTAGCCACCGGCGGAGCAACAGTGGGTGGTTTAACAACCGGCGGAGCAACAGTAGGCGGTTTAACAACCGGTGGAGCAACAGTGGGTGGTTTAGCAACCGTGGGTGGCTTAGCAACCGGCGGAGATGGTAGCGACGGCTGTGGCGGCTTCACTTCCGGTGTAGGGACGGTGGCAACCTGCAACAAACAGAAAAAAGCCTCCTTCAATCGATCGATCTTGTTTTTATTCCATTTTTAGCCATTTACAAACATTCCAAATACAAGATCCACAAGAATCCAAGAAATCGACACGAAACACGATAACAAATATCATCAGATTTTTCAAGATTATGACAACATATTTCCAAAGTTTTTGGAGTCGAGATCGATCTGTGTGTTCATATTCATAATCATACCTCCACTTCATGGGATGAAATCTGCAAACACGAAAACAGAAAGATTATCGAAAAGGGTGATTAGATCGAGTGTTTTTAAAGGATGAAAATGGAGATACTTACAGAAGTAGAAAGGAGAAGAAACGAAGCTAAAAGGAAGAGATGAAGGGGTTTGATCGCCATTGTTGCAGAGCTCAAGAAATGTGGGTTCTTGATGGTGATGAAGGTGGTGTGGTAGAGATGGTATAAATAGAAAGAAAATGGAGTAAATTAGAGCTTGATTTTATGGGAACCCACATTTTTATGCTATTTTTAATACAATAATGACTTATGATATAAATGTATATATATTAGAAGAAAAAAAAGTGATAATGGATTGAATTGATCGAGTTGAAGATATTTGAATAATCCAATTTGATTTTTATGGTTCAAAAAGTATCAGCGGTCGTGCTGATACTTTGGTATATCAAAATATTATCTTGACTTTACATATGTTGTTTTTTCTATTCATAATTTTTTATTTTTTATCAATTATTTGATACAACTTATCCATACTTCTTATATCATAAGTATATCACATTTAACTATTCTTTTCACCTGCATATATATTTTTTCACATTTATTGAACATATATATAAATGAAGAACAGATGAAATATATATATATATATATATATAAATAAGGTATTTGATGATGTAATTGTCTAATGTATATATAAAAGAGACTTAACAATCATATTAAATCCAATAAATAAAAATGATATCGGGCTCATCGGGTTAGGTTCAAATGATTATAACCCAATTTAAACTCAATAGTTATAGTTTGAAATTTATTAAAATAATCATATATTCATAGTTGCTTTAACCTCATAGCTATTTTCTCTCCATGTTTACCAAAATAGCCTTAGATCAGTAATTATGGACCCAACTAAAAGAGAAAAAAATTACACTTTTTACCTCTGTCCGTAAAAAAAAGTTATATTTTTCACTCAGATCCGCAAAAAAGAAATTAAAATTCCGGACCTAAGACTAAATTTTTAAACCTTGTAACAAAATGGCTAAGAAATAAAACCAACTGATAAAATGAGTATTTTAATTAATTTCTTAAAATCAAATGGATAGCTTAAAAACCTTTATAAACCCTGCTATAGTTAAGTAACTCCCAGTTGTGGGACCCATCTACTCTATTATCACTCAATTTTTTATTTTATATATTAATTATTTTAATTTTAATTTTAATTCCAATTTTTATAAGATTTATTTTAGATAATTAAAGGAAAATCAATCTACATCTCAATCATTTGCTTTATAAACATTAATTTACAACTTATATATAAATTATATATTTAAAAGTATTAAAGATAAGTCCATATTTTATTTTTTAAATTATTATAAATTTATTTATCTACTTAAATATTCACCAAAAACTTATACACAAATTTAAAAAAAAATGTATTACATAACAATTATTAATTAACATTTTTTATATTTATTTCAATTTTATGTTGGGTTTTCACCAAAAATGATTAAAATATATCCAATATATTAACAAAATAGCCATTTTTTCATGTTTTACCAAAATAACCACATGGATCATCCTCGGGGGCGATTTGACTCCATATTTGGTTACTTATTTTTTTTTACTAATTATAAAGATGCATATATAAACTTATATTTTCTTTTACCAATGATTCATATATTAATCATTATTTATTCATAGGTTTTTACCACTTTTTTTTGTTGACCTGAATATCCAACCCGTTATGCGAGCCGACTAATCCAAATGTCCGGAGTCACCGCATTTGAACCTCCATGGCCACAAGGGAATTTTTATTTCTCATTGGATTTAAACCTGATACCTACAGACACTTTTGATATTTGGAACTCAAGCTTAAACCACTCAGATACTACCCTTGCGGCTAGTTTTTACCACTTTTGTCTTTTTATTTGAACATTCCCCTGCTTTTGAAATGAAATGTTCTAAAAACATTGTTGGGATGCTTAAATACATCCCAACAGTATAACGTAACACTTTTGTATAAAACGTATAACTATTAAGCACTTTATTAAGACATTTAAATATGTCTGATGTCCTATAAACATCGATTCATTTATTAATCATGGGGTGTTTAATTCAGCTTGCACGCACCTCGATTAATCTCAAGGGTCCTGAAGAATAAACAAGAAAAATGCTCAACGACCCTACAAAACTTAAACTGATCGAGAATCAGTAAAAATTTAAACCTTACTGTCAGTTGAACTGAACTGATTCTGTCGCTCAGCAACCCTACAAAATTTAAACTGATCAAGAATCAGTAAAAATTTAAACTTTATTGTCAGTTGAACTGAACTGATTTAGTGAGAGTTGGTAGAGAGTAAGGGTGGAGGGAGTGAGAGTGGGTAGAAAGACCAGCTGGAGTCATGGTGTAGGTCAATTGAAATTCAAAGATGCCAGCTTTCTTCAGCAAACAAAGGCATTATTATTTAAAAGAGAAAACTACACATTTGGTCCCTGTAGTTTATTAAAAATAACATTTTAACCTTGTAATTCTAAAATTGTCCATATTTCGTCTTTCTTTAACAACCTACTAAAATCCCGTTAAATAAGAAGTATTTTTGGTTATTTTATCATTTTCTTTTATCTCTTTTACACAATCAAAATCAATTTTACGAATTTGATCCTTTGAGTAGGGACTGAAAACCTGCTGCATAGTACATTCAAGTAGGGATGATCATTTGTCCCGACCTGGTGGGGAACCCGATTCATCCGACCCGAACGGGGCCGGGGATCCCCTGTAGACTCAAACTGGGCCGGGGATCCCTGGTAGAATCAAACTAAAAGATATTTTAAATGGGGTTTGACCGGAGACTGATAGAGATTTGACCGGGAACAAAATGTTAATCTCGGTACCCGCCGGGATTACAAAACCCGCCCCATCTCTGCCCCATTGCCATGCCTACATTCAAGAGTACTCATAAAAAATGCATTTTTTGTGCTTTGGGCTATTTCATTAACTGCTATAAATACCAACTAGACAGATCCACTACAGAAAAGTAGCTTTATATTGGTTCGAATCCAATTCGTTAGATGACATCGAAATGGGGCCGGAGAGCCAGTAAAAATATCAATAAAATCACTAAAACATCCATCATCTAACAAAATCCTTTAACAATCATTAGAAATAAGGACCAAATCCGAACATTTTATAAACCATGATAATCATTTTGTAATTCTAAAACTACAAGTACTAAAAGTGTTATTTTCAACAAACCAAATGGACCAAATTAATTCATAGGTTACTCTATTTAAAAATAATGCCTTGGAAGCTGTGCTTGGGTAAATCTCACTCATTATTCTTACCATGTTCCAACAAAACACCTGCAATTTCAAAATTAGAACATGGTGATCATAGTTTACAAAAACATTCATATCTGGTTCCTTTTTAAACAACCTTTACAAAAATTCCATTAAATAAAAAGTATTTTCATCATTTTATTCATTTTTTTGGTTTTTTACCCAATCGAAATCGATTTTATGAATTTGGTCGTTGTGGTTTTTAATGGGTAAAAGACAAAAATTCGAAAAAGGAACTAAAATGCCTCTCGTTTAACGAAATTCTTTAACAACCATTACCAGATCTGAGATTTTTACAAATCATGAAAACCATCTTGTAATTTCAAAACTACGATGTGTTATTTCTGAGAAACCATGTGGACCGAATAAATTTGTAGGTTACTTTATTTTTGTAAATCATGAAAACCATCTTGTAATTTAAAAAGTATTATTATACAGAATATGTTGAATATTTTAAAGAGGAAACATAGATCTCTGTTTTGAAATGGTTTCAAGAAACTTGGATATCTGTACACATGGCCTACTTGATAAACCAAGCAGATTCTTTTTTTTTTAATTAATTTTATTATTATTATTATTATTATTATTATTATTATTTCATTTAAGGTATATTTGTTATCAACACAAATTGAGTAGATATTATCAAGTAAAAGTATGATGTAAATAAGTTTCGATTGAAAATGGTTGTTTACCAAGTGTTTTTGTTTTAAGTGTTTATTGATAAAAACAATCTAAGTAAGCACTTGATCAGTGATATTTGATGGTTTCTGATTCGGTCTAATATCTAGGTCTGAAGATTAGGTAAATAATATTATATCTTATGGGATTATACTTGCCCGTTAAATTTCAAAGACAATCAACACTAAGTAGGCAACTTCTAAATTATGTGAGGAGAAACCTTGTTGATCAACAAGTATAATTTATCGAGTCATATATATACATACATATACAAGGTTGGGTTCCGGTGAGAAGAAGAGTTAAAGTAAGATGGAAAGTTAGGGTAAAAAACGTAAAAAGAGATCTCCAACCTTGAATGCATATTAGGATAAGATGCACCGGATCAATCCCCGCATTAAACCCGGTTCATGAGTAGGTTTGATATTAAAAGTAATCAAATATTCAGATTCTTTCTTACGCTTCTCACATTCACTCTTATTCTCACATGATCATATATATATATATATATATA